CCTTTTCCTCTTTCCTCGCCCTTTCACTCTTTTCGCTACCTACAAAATCAACTGCCGAATTATGAAACTGGCCTCACTGTCCAATAAGTTTGCCTTAAAGGTTCTGGAACTAGGACCAATATCTAAAAAATCCGCCCATAAAAGGTTACTAGAGTGTACTTCTGAGCAGCTAAAATTGGCGTTGCCGCATGCGAAGTTCCACAAGGAAGAACAATTACAAGATTAAGAAAACAGGCAATTTTGGCTGTAAAAAGCAGACAACTTGCCCCATGTGATGCGGAGGAGTCTTCTTGATTAACGTCAGTGCCTCATCCATGCGGCCGAGTTGAATAAGCGCCACCAGTTTGCACTTGAATGCCATCGTCTCCTTCGGATATGTCCGCAGCACTGCAACAGCACAGCAGCAGATAATTTGGTTTATTCTTCTCCCCTCCTCCCCCCTTCCCCTCCGCTCCCCCTCTTCGTGGTATTGCAAATTACACTCGTCTGGCTTAATCTCAGTGAATATATACGTGGCCGTACATGTTACCTGCCCGCGGGCAACATATACGGCCCTGTATAACTTTTGACGGGTAAAATTATTATCACGGAAACCACGGAAGGTGGAAGGTTAAAATTCTGTGGGCATGTCCCCGGTCTATGTGCTACCCAAAAAATTTAAATTCAGTTTTCCCCGGCTCGCAGGTAATATGTACAGCCCCGTGAAAATTTTGACGGATAAATTATTATCTCGGGAACCACGGAATCTAGGAAGCTGAAATTTTATGGCAATGATCCCTTGCACATGACCGATCTTGCAAATTCGAATTCAGCGTTCCCGCGCTCTCAGGTATCATCTACGGCCCCATGAAAATTTTTGTGGGTCAGATTATTATCTCGGGAACCACGGAATCTACGATGTTGAAATTTGAAGGCAAATGACCTCCTGCTCACGCACGACCTTTCAAATCCAGCGTTCCCGCGCTCTCGGGCATCACCTACGGTCCCGTGAAAATTTTGGAGAAATTATTATCTCGTAAACCAAAAAATCCAGGAAGCTGAAATTTTACAGTAATGTCCCCCGCCTATATGCAATCCCGCAAATTTAAATTCAGCCTTCTCACATGCCCGAATGTCACTTACGGTCCCGTAAAAGCTTCGGCGGTGAAAATTATCTCGGGCAATGCGGAAGTTGGGAATCTGAAATTTTAGGCTGACCCCCTCTACCAACGTACGACCTCGTAAATTTGGATTGATGCTTCACGCACCCGCGGGTACCACGTCCGTGAAAATTCTGATAGAGGAATTATTTCGTGTGCGTGAAATTTTAGTGGGAAATCCCGTTAAGACACATACAAAATTTCAACTATTTCCGCACAAACCAAAGTGCAAAGCAATGAAAATCATTAGCACGCAATCGTTCGGCGGACGGAATTGCACAAAACGCATGATCGCATCAAGTGCCCTGGTTCCCGTCGCTATTTTTTCTCTCTAGGCCTACTTACAGGTTACTCCACACAGATGTCTACAAGGTGTGCCTGTACTGTTTCTCTACAGGAGACATTCGCACGCCACATCACTCTAAACTGTACTGCTCAAAGGGCAAATCTGTGCAGAAAACTGATGCCGGTAAGGGAAAAAGTACGAAGCCGGCTGTTAATTACTGTGGCTACTAAGTACACCTAGTGGAATCTCAACGAATTTATTGTCTTTAAGGAGAAATCAACGGTACCTTTATTGGCGATTCGCAAAGCTTTCTCAT